ATCTCTAACGCGAAGAAAACACAATGATTTTTCTAGAAGCATCTGTTTAGAAAGCGCCACCGCGAAAAGTCAGGTCGTGGAAAGGAGGGCTAGAAAAAGGAGGCATTTTACAACATTTCTCTAAGGTGATTCGATATAACGTTTGAAAATACAATAAGAGTTTGGATTTTATCCCAAAATATTGTAAAAGAAAAGTTCTCGAAAAACCAGTAGGTTTTCGGCCTGTTAAACGCTAGTTTAATTTTATCATTTTACTATTTATTTTAACGCAATTGCAGACCCGAGGCGGAGGTTCCTGGGCCATGTGGTTACGCTTTGGCAGTCTTCACGAAAATGATTCTTCCGGCGGTGGGGGTCGCGGGGCGGGTGCAGGGTGGGTAAGGTAAAGTTTTACACAAGGAATTTTTGCAGATTCGGACAATTAATGAAATTTATGAAAGATTCAGCGAGGACCAAAAACCATCGTCATCAATGCAATCGATTTTTGACGTGCAGAGTGTAGGAGCGTCGCGTGTATTGTATCGCCTATCGGATATGGGATCTATCGCAGCTGTCCATGACGTGAATATTCCCGACAACTGTATGCTGGTAGACGCCAGCAGTTCTCGCTGATAAAATCCGATCCCAAATCAGAATTTTATTCCCGGGGCTACCCGCCCAAATCCACATTCCAAAAATGGCGACACGAATAAATGCTTTGAGTAATCTTTTTGCGAGTTCGGTTTGCCGATGAGTCGGCTTGTCGGATGCGTTGCGTGGGGCGAGTGCGTTGAAGGAGGGTGGTCGTCGATTAGCGCCACTGCAAAAAGCCGCCGTAAATTTTAATTCGCGTCAGTTTGTCGAAAATTAATTGTGTTAATCTATCGTATTTCCTCTAATATAACCCCGAGGGCTATCGGGGTTAGCGGGCGTAGCCCGCTAACCCCTTTTGGTTTGAGGTACCCCCCCATACGACTCTTTTGGGGTCCTTTTCCGGGATTTAAAAAGAACCATGCATCGGATCGCGAAACTGAATACACCATCGGAACCGGCGACACTTTTTGCATACTATAAGCTTTTAAAAATTGAAAAAAAAGTTAAATTTCGAATTTTAACAGCCGATTTAAATTGCGTTTCGAGGGGGGGGTCTGCGTTTGTATGTGTGTGTGTGCGTACGCAAAACCTTTGTAGTCGTCAAAAAGTGCCTTCCCATGGTCCGTTTGGGCTGAAATTTTCCACATATATCGACTTGATGTAAATGAAGGTGAGGAAGAAGCGTTTTTTTCAAAATAGGCTTTTAAAAAATTTATATTGAATTTTTAAGTTTAGAAGCTAAATTGCGGCCAAAACAAGGGTTACTGATGTCCGTTTGGGCTGAAATTTTGCTCAAATATGCATTAGACCATGCCGGAATAAGTAAAAAGAAATTGCATCGAAAGAATGCTTCTTCTCTGAGATATTATAACTTTAAACCTTCGCCATACGGGGCGCCACCCACCCCTTTCGCGGCCCCAGTCCCGGGTCAGGGCGGGCGGGTCTAGCTTCCCCAAGACAGGGCTCCAGTCTCCCCTTTGGCCTAGTGGTTAGCACGCTGTACTGGGAAGACTTGGCTCCCGAGTTCGAACCCCGCCCGCAACATCGTTTTTGCCGATTGGCGCGAATGCATCGTTAATGTTTTTAGTACCGTTACAAAGCGCCGCAGGCAAATTTTTTTGAAGTATTGCGTACAAGGGTTCATCTGAATAAATATCCCATGACTTATTCTATGATCTTAACAACAAAATTGAGGCAAAAAGGGCTAAATTCTCTCTAAGGCTAAAAAGAGTCTTTTCAAAAAAGGGCTTTTGGTTTTCGCAAAAAGAGATCAATTCTCGTGGCAACAAAAAGTGCTAAATTCCTTTAAAACTCTGAAAAATGCCACAAAATGTGGGATCAACCAAAAGTTGCTGACAGCTTATTAAAAGGGACAGACTCGTTTTTATCCGTTTCGGCTTATAAATAAATTTCGGTATTATGATCCATTTTCTTGAAATTAATCTGTAGACCTGACCTGTATCTAATTAAAACAGTCCAAGTTTATTAGATTTTAATTAGCCAGCAGCTTTTTGTTGTTCCCCATTTTGTGGCATTTTTCAGAGTTTTAAAGGAATTTAGCACTTTTTGTTGCCACGAGAATTGATCTCTTTTTGCGAAATATATTTTCAATCACCTCAGGGGAGGGGGTTGTATTAGAGGGAGGGATATACTTTTCGGGATTTTGAGCAATTACAACAGTTTTTAGGGGCTCAAACTACTCACATATACTCAAGAACACAGTTCAAAGCTTAGACAGCTACGTTTTTGGCATTTTTTTCTTCTTAAAGACGACTTTGAAAAAGAATATTTTTGGGGGAGGCGGTTTATTAGAAGGGGGGGGGCTATATTAGAAGAAATACGGGATTTGTTTTCCCCACGAACTCTGGCAAGCAGCTACCATAATTAGCATTCAGATAGGGCTTCCGAAAAAAAGGATCGTTCTTAAGAGGGCGAGCGGGAGCCCGTTAGAAATAAATTAGCATATGCCGTAAGTAGAGTTAGCCTATATAATTGCAGAGAAGAAGCGCCTTTTGATGTTTTACACTTTCAGGAGTTTTTGCCATGTGAGAACAGCGTTGGGGGGTAAGACGAGGTCAGAGTTGAACTTGGAAAAATTGGATCCTTAAAAACGAGTGTTAGTAGACCCACGTCTCAGAGATTCGCCGCGCGTCTGGTCACCGAGCACCGCCTTGCCTGGAGAATTTCAAGTGCACTATGGCGAAAAGACAGCAAAAATTCGTAAACTTAAGTGCAATAATGAAACTAGCGCGCGAGCAATCAGGTGACATGCGAAAAATATTCATGGGGGTGCTGTTCTATTTCGCGGGGGGAAACTGAGCGGGGGGAAATGTTCTTCGGTTTGTTATAACTCTTTTATATTTTGCTATTTTGAGTTGTAATTAAAACTCTTAGTATATTTTTTGACGCTCTATCGAATCGCATGAAAGGAATTTTTAAAAAAAAATTGAAAATGTCGAACACTAGCTTTCGACTCCACGATCCCATGTGGAAACACCGTATAAACCTTGTTTTTGCTATAACTATTTGGTTCTTTAGGATTTCCGGGGAAAGTATTTCGGGGAAACCAAATTTTTTCGGCCCAAGCCTAAATTTTTTTCTAAATAGCGCATGCGTTTCTAAATAGTTTTTAACTATTCCTGAGCATAAAAACTACACAGATTTTAATTAAAAAATTTAATTTTAGGTCGAAAAATCCTATAGAACCTTTAGGATTAGCGGGGGGGGAAAGACCCAAAATGACCAATTTTCGACTTTTTCAAACATTTTTCTAACTTTTTTGACAGGTTTTTCTACTTTAAATATAGTTCAAATTTACTAAAAACAATGTGAAAACACTTTATATTTGATTACTAGGTCAACCGGGAAAACCAGGAAAAAATTTGGTTTCCCCGGAAATCCTAAAGAACCAACTATTTTATAAAACAATATTTTTAGATGAAATTAAAACTCTTAGTATATTTTTTGATGCTCTATCGAATGACGGGTTCAAAATATCGAAAAACAGGGCGAAAATGCCGAAAACTGGCATTTCGGCACCAGTTTCAATAGTTTTTTTTGTTTTTGCTATAACCTTTTTATATTACAATAGTTTTAGCTAAAACAAAAACTCTGAGTGTATTTTTTGATGCTCTATCGAACGGCGTTGCAAAAATTCCGAGAAAATAGCGAAAAGATAGAAGTGTTGGCGAAGCATATTCCCCCCCCCCGCACAGTTTCCCCCGCAAAATAGAACAGAACCTTCATGGGCCATACGATGCGCGGGGGGGCGGCAAAAAAATTCGGCAATTGTTTGCCTTTTGACGATTCCGTTTGTTAAACCATATGCGGGGTATTTGTTGATAGCGAGGATACGGTGAATTTCCGAGCATTCACCGGTCCTCAGGATCTGCAAAACCTGCTTGAGTGCGATGCGTAACTATTCGAGACCTCAAATAATCACAATCTCCTACATCAAGGCCAAAGGACGCTGGAGAGGTTTCGGGGATCTAAGGAGTAATCGATAAATTACTTAAAAAATGTACAGAATGTTCGAATTTTAGTTTTTGGGGGCGTTTTCCTACCCCCATTAAGCATAACACATAAAAGTTTCGTGAATATCCCAGGCTTCTCCGAGATTCTAGACCCCAAAACGTTTTGCCAGAAATTTTCAAACACCCTGTACTGGAACACGCTGACGGAAGTTGCATGTAAATGCACAAACACGAATTCCGGTCACTTCGCCTAAACCCGTTTCGCCTAAACCCATATCGCCTAAAGCCGGTCTGCCTAAAGCCCATATCGTCTAAAACCCGTTTCGCCTAAACGCATTTTGGCTGAATTTTTGGCCATTTTCTTATCTCAATTTTTGACCAAGAAGCCGGTAATTTTCGAAATCTTTATAATAGTTTCGTAAAATTTCAAAGAGAGTTTTTGAAATTGTTTAATAAAAGCTATGTAATTGACTTCAAAACGTGGTTTTACTACGAATTTGTAGAATTATCTTTAGAAAATTCCAAAAAACTTACGATTATTGCAAAAAATGGTGATTTTTCGGTAAAAAATGCAGCATTGCAAACGGTCAATAATTTAGGCGAAATGGGTTTAGGTGATACGGGTTTTAGGCGATATAGGCTTTAGGCAAAACGGGTTTTATTTTTTAACAGAGTTTGAATAAGCGTAAATATCTGTCTATGAAAGAATTAACTTTCCACTCGTTGTTCGTATGCAGAAACCACGTGTAAATTGCTTCTGCAATAATTTTTTTATGTAACCTGATCTTTGGCGAAAATATAACTCCTAGCTTTTTTGATGTTCTCTGGAATTCGGCAAAAAAAACCCCACAAATCAGCGAAAATATCCAAAATTTTGGCATATTTGAATTTCTACAAAAGTCCGGGGGGGGTTTTCTCTCAGAAAAATACCATTATTATCACTTTTTCTTGGTAATGGGCAAAAAGTTCAAGATGTACTGCCGCAAATCGCATGGATCACGATTTCTGGCGAGCTATGACTTACACGGGGTGCCTGCACACGAGCAGCAGCAGCAGCCGCAGGGCGAGCAGCAGCAGCAGCAGCAGCCGCAGGGCCAGCAGCAGCAGCAGCCGCCGCAGGGCGAGCAGCAGCAGCAGCAGCCGCAGGGCGAGCAGCAGCAGCAGCAGCCGCAGGGCGAGTAGCAGCAGCAGCCGCAGCAGGAGCAGCAGCACCAGCGCGCCTGCCCGGCACAGCGTCGCGGTCAAACGGCTGGAAATAAACTTACTTCAGAAGTTGTTTCCTGTTTCAATGATTAAGAAGTTTTCACTCTTTGCTCGTAAAATCTTTAAATGAAGAAATTTTGCAAAACAAAAAATGTGCTTTTGGCAAATGTGTTTCTCCACCTCCATGCCAAAAATCGGCCGGAAATTCAGCGTATCTGCCGAGAATAGGGTTGCGACGAAAGCACACATAATTTTCGCGCTAACAGGATAATATAGCGATTTGCCGGGCGCGGTGGAATCCCTTGTAAAAGAAACTCTGAAGGCTCGTTCAAGATTCTATGCAAGGTTTTGATAAAACCGGAGCCACAACGGCTAATGCCATTTCGGGAAATTTTCTTATCGAAATACATGGAAATGCATCCTACATCGAGGCCATTAGCACGACCCCGGACAACCGGAAGCTGGATAGCACGACCCGGGCGGACACGCTGTAAATAAGAAATGGGGTAGTCAACAGGGCGATTGAAATTCCGTTTCCTACAATGAGCCTCCCAGCATGGATTCTACCATACAGGGTGCCAAAAAAAGCACCCTCCTTCTAGCGGCTCGCAGTCGTATCCGAGTTTTATCATTTAGGTATCTATCGAAAACTCGCGAAATGGCGAAAAAACAAGCAGTCTTCGTTTTCTAGATTAGGTGATTTAATTGTGCATTTTTATGACTAAAAACCGCGAAACGGGCTGGTTTATGCGAGATCCGTATGTTAATTGCAACATCGGCAACGAAAAAACACGCGCTTTTTTAACAAAACGTTGAATGTCAAGAAAATGCCAAATAATTCAAAAAAATCAAAGCCGCTTGTTTTCTCGCCTCTTCAAGGGCTTTCGAATGGTGTAGGAAACATCCCATCCCGAGTTTTCTCCGGACCGCTAGCGGGGGCGCTTTTTTATTGGACACCCTGTATCTAAAAATATTGTCTGTGTAGCGTGCGTCAGTGGGCATTTACATGCAACTTTTGTCAACCGGTAAAGTTTGCTTTACGGGGGAGAAATAACGGGGGTGGAATCCATTTTCCCTATAGGGCCCTGTCGTGCCGATTCAAGCATGCCATCGGATGGAGCGTCGAAAAATACACTAAGAGAATTAATTTCGGCCCGAAACAATGTAATTGAAATTCGTTATGAAAGAAACAAAGCTATGGGCCGTCCATGAATTATAACTTAAAGGCGACCGTAATTTTCGGTGTGTTTGGCTGTTTTAACGAAATTTCATGAATGCCATCGGATCGATCGTCAAAAAATATACTAAGATATTTAATTTCAGCCCAAAATAACGCATTATAAATTAGTTATTAAAAACAAAACCATCGGCTGGTCGTGAAGCATCACCCTAAGGTGCTCATCATTGTCGCCGTTTTTAGTTCTTCCGTCGGGATTGGATTAGTGCCATCGGATAGATCGTCGAAATTATCCCAGGAGTGTAATTTCAGCCCAGGATAGGAGGAGCAGGATATTTCCTATAAATACAACAACTTTTCCACCCCCGTTTTGTTCCCCCGTTAAGCGACCTTTAACCGTCAGCGTATCTCGAGGATTTTTCAAAATGGGCAAGAATTCATGGGGCGCCCGATACGTAATCAAGTGCGTAATGGTCCAGAGATGCATGACATATCCGATCTGGGAAAAAAAAAACATGCTTTCGGAATCTAAATTAGGTTTTTATGAGAAATTGGCCACCATATTCTAAAACGGGAATCTTTTTTACCGTGCGAGTAGATGCAATTTCCTACCAGGTCATAGCCGTGATTCGGCCTCACCGGACTGTTGGCCCGTGCCTGTAATAAAAGGCGGTTGCGGCGCCACATAAACAAGGTTTAGACAGCATCGGAAATGGCATATCGATGTAGCAGAGCTGCTTGGCTTTGAAAGGTTCAAAAAATTCATTTCGGGGTTTAAATTAGCGTAAAAGTTGCTGGCCCCGAACCAAATAGAGGGAGAGAGAAAGAGAGAGAGAGAGAGAGAGAGATAGAGAGAGAGAGAGAGAGAGAGAGGGCGAGAGAAAGAGTGATCAGCGCAGCTCCATGGGGGCTAAGAGGTTGCATCCTTCATACCTCGTTGGCCCTTTGACGGTTGGGTCCCGGTGGAGTGGCACGATCGCGTTCTTGGCCATCGACGGCACCACCGCGATGCAAAGGCGAGCCCTATAGTAAAAATGATACTGTGGGACTGGAATCGAATTCCTTGTGAGTTTGGAAAATCAAATAGTGTGGAAAGCGACAAAGAGAGAGAGGGAGAAAGAGAGAGAGAGAGAGAGAGAGAGAGAGAGAGAGAGAGAGAGAGAGAGCGAGAGAAAGAGTGACCAGCGCAGCTCCATGGGGGCTAAGAGGTTGCATCCTTCATACCTCGTTGGCCCTTTGACGGTTGGGTCCCGGTGGAGTGGCACGATCGCGTTCTTGGCCATCGACGGCACCACCGCGATGCAAAAGGCGAGCCCTATAGTAAAAATGATACTGTGGGACTGGAATCGAATTCCTTGTGAGTTTGGAAAATCAAATAGTGTGGAAAGCGACAAAGAGAGAGAGGGAGAAAGAGAGAGAGAGAGAGAGAGAGAGAGAGAGAGAGCGAGAGAAAGAGTGACCAGCGCAGCTCCATGGGGGCTAAGAGGTTGCATCCTTCATACCTCGTTGGCCCTTTGACGGTTGGGTCCCGGTGGAGTGGCACGATCGCGTTCTTGGCCATCGACGGCACCACCGCGATGCAAAGGCGAGCCCTATAGTAAAAATGATACTGTGGGACTGGAATCGAATTTCTTGTGAGTTTGGAAAATCAAATAGTGTGGAAAGCGACAAAGAGAGAGAGGGAGAAAGAGAGAGAGAGAGAGAGAGAGAGAGAGAGAGAGAGAGAGAGAGAGACCTGGGGGTTTCCGGGTGCGTTATCACGTTGCGGGCTTGGCGGACCGTATTCAGTAACCTGCAAAGAGCATTTTTGTTAAAGTGCTTCTCGTTTTCGGGGGGAAGTCTATAATGTTGCATACTTTGTGTTCCAAAATTGGCAGGCGAGATATTTCAGTGCAAAATTCGCTATATGTCGGCTACACGGAGGAGACAATTTTGTGACAGAATAGATATGCCTTTCTGATATTTTTATGATTTTCTCGAAAGTTTCGCAACGCCATTCGTTGGAGCATCGAAAAATATACTATGGGTTTTTGTTTTAACGCAAATTATTGTAATATAAAAAAGGGTCAAGGTTCCCGGAAAGGGTATCTAGACACCCAATAAAAATTCGAAAAACACTCATTCCGGCTAATTTGAAATCGGAGATTCCGCATATCACAATGGCGCACCTCGAAAAGCTCACACAAAAAAGTTGGTTTTTGACCGTTAGAAAAAAGTAAATCGTAATTTTCGCACTAAAAATCAAATTTCCGGGCTTTCGGAGTTTCAAATTTGGAATCAGCATGTAACTTTAAATTTAGTAAGTTCTCAATTAAATATTTTCCAGCCAGGGATTTTCAGGAAATCGGCCTAGAAGGTCCAAAAATGGGGGGTGATTTACTTTTGTCCGTTACTGTATACCCAAAATTCACTTTTTTTGGGCTACCCTGTACAAGTCAGGAACGATTTGGGGTCAGGCCCCCATCGAACCTTCATACAAGCCCTAGTTCTAACAAGCATTGTAAGAACGACCGTTCGACACCCAACCCGGCATTTCAATAACCTTACCGTTCCCAGAGATGCACGTGGCAGAGGCGGTTCTTGTTGCTGGAATACGCACAAGGTGTCTCATAAAAAAACACCCTCGGCATTTACTCGCTTTATTTCCGATCGAGCGGTCGTGTTCAGGAGAGATGCGGAAGGCCACTTTCGCCATTCAAAGTCTTATCGAATTTAATCGTTTCCGAATCTTTAATCTAACCGACGTTTCAAAAAAAACCCTGTATTCAATGTTGAAAATAGGCCATTTTGATAGATCTCATTTGCGTGTGGTCATCTCCAGACCTTCGCGCTTCGCATTATGGATCAACGATACTCCTAACTAGAGTTGAGCGGCTCAACCCCCGCGGAGACCAAAAACCCTCCAAAAACACCTCCGCGGGGGATCCTTCGTGACTTTTTTTATGGGGGCGGCCTGTATAAGCGGCCACAATCACCCCCTCCCCTTCCCCCCCCCCCCCCCCCACCTAATCACGCCCAAAATTAGCGGCAATAAGGCCCTAAGCAACGCGGCACTCCTATCTACTCGAAAATGTATGGGACCAAAACTTCTAAGCCTTATAACTTTAAAACGAAAGTGAATCTAAAAAACGCTTGTTCCAACTTTGTAGAATGGCACGAGGCGATACTAAGGATACCAAGCACTAAGAACACTGTGTTCAGAAAGTATCAGAACGGAGGCGGTTTCTGTTGACGACTTTGTGAAAAGTGGTAGTTCGGAGAGCTAACTTGCCTTATTTAGTATCAATCGAACCGTAAAATTCTACTCTGCAATATTTGATATTAGGTTTTCACTATTAAGTCGGTTTGAAAAAGTTATAAGGCCTTAAACTTTTCGACGCGCACTACGCCCGGCTCCTATCGACGCTTTTGCCCCTCCCGGCAAATTGCCGTTTTTGGCCTGTTTGATTGGCGGTGTAACTAGCGTGCCGCAGTCCGATCTTTATGTTTTAGTTATCTATCAAAAGCTCTCGTCGAGCTGACAAGGGAACCTTTGTAGAGAGAATCAAAAAATTGTGAGCTGGTTCGAATCCTCGTCAGTATCCTATCAAGTGAGTCGCCTACCACTCTGCCACCTTGATTCCATAGTGATGGGAGAGCCTCATAAGCTTATCGATAATGCTAATTTTTCCGATGCAAATTATCATTTCCGGAAGAGCTGTCTCTCTGTCCACAGGACCATTAAGGCAATTCTGACTAAACCATTAAAATCGCCATAGTCGAAAACTTAGGGGTAGCCGCGAGCGTTTTTCGAAATTCCACCGTGCCAACTCTAGGTTCCGTTATGAGGAGATATCTCCGCTCCCATTCGAAATTCCCGAATTTTTCTTACAATTATTAACAAGGATGTGAAACCAGGTTCTGAAGGAAATCGCTAGGACCCGAAATGGCGCAATGCCAGCGTGGCCTTTTTTATTGAGACTTCCTGTAGATTTTGCTCTTCCGGAGCTCTCCTTAAAACTTGAGCTCGATCGGAAATAAGGTGACCAGGGGCGCTTTTTATGAGATACACCGGGTCTTTTTGCGTGGCCCACGGCTTGTGGGGCCTTGGAGGTACAAAGGAAGACTGCGTGCGAATTTCGATCACTAGTCAAAAAATTGGCATGCGTTTCAGGTCAGCCTGGCGAGAAACGCAGAGATCTCGCGTACAAATTTCTCACGCTTCATGGAAAATGAGCGTTGCTGACACTGCCCTTTTAAAGCGAATTGAATCTGGTTTTTGACGTTAAAAAACTGGTGAAGCCTTTCCCACCATCCAGGCGGGACTTCCTTTCGCAATAGTGATTTTTGCATTTAGTGACGTAATCTAGAAATAAGCATGGGGTAATGGCGAAGTGCATTTCGCCTACCTCGTGCCCAATCTTTTCCATTTGCTCGGGATGTCCTAGATGGATCGTATGCTGGCGTTTTACCTGAGTGAGGCAGCATAAGCACAAAATAACGTAAGGGAACGAACTGCGAAGACAACTTCATCGATCCGGAAGATCTCTTGCCGGAGCTGTTGCTTGCTGGTTTCAGCAAGAACTTCGAGTTGCCCAATGGCCGCGGAGGTGGCCTCAAAAAAACATAGGCAGGCTGGGGAGAAAATGCATCTATCGGAAGCTCTCCACAAAACAAGACTTGTTTTTCTTTTCTTTTTTTTGTTTACTAGAACACAACTTTTTAATTGCGTTTTGGGAAGAATCATGGGAATTCAAGTCTGTAGAAGAGCACACAAGGGTCGCTGGGCGTGCCAGAGACTTACAAATGACGCGTAACGGCTTTTCCTACAATATAAACCTACATAAACCATTGAAAAAATAACGCCTTGTGCAGAATATTTGCTGATTTCAAACCTGTCCTCAATTTTTGCTAAATAGCTCGCTTTAACCGAATTACAACGTTTTTAAGGAAATTTTTGCCCAAATTTTCCGAACGAATTATATAGACGTTCCCGGTTTATTTTCTAGAACCGAATATCGTAGTCGTATTCCGAAGTTTGTTTCTCTATCGACTGAGCCCTTTAATTCTCAATTTATATTTAGAATAAAATTCTTGCAATCCCCAAGCGTTATTTAGCTAAAAACTCGACCTGCTCGCGTTCCAGAACCGTCAAGTTGCCCCTTCTGAGAGCTTCCGCCCGTCCTCGCCGCCCGGCCACGGACATTTGCTGAAATTCGTATGCATAAATAGGCGTATGGCATGAAAACGTAACGTAAACGGCGAGTCGGCCGCAAGCGAAATTAGGCTAGAAAGATGCGCAAAAAATTTTCTGCATTGGTTAATGTATTATTTCGGTAGCGGCCAGGTCACCGTTTTTCTAAAAAAATAGCTTTTTGTAGCGGGAAATTAATCCAAAAAAACCTAAAATGGAAATTTTAGCAATTTTCTAAGTTTTGGAGTAAGAGATCACATTTACAGATCAAGCCTAATTAAATGCAAAAATAAGCAAAAAGAAGTTCGGAATTTGAAGGGGGTGCTTGTTTTGGGCAGGAGTCGAACCCGGACCTCCGGCCTGGGCGCCTCGTGGTGGAATAAGTAGAGCGTCGGCGTACCAATCCAGAGCCGCCGCCAGTTCAATCCCAGCCCCCTCTCAGTAGCCAAATTTCTTGTTGCTCTTTTTTGCAATCGACTTGGAATGATTTCTTGATACGCTTGACTACTCCGCTTTGTAAATACCACAAAATTTCAAGATTTAGTCAAATTTTTTGCCCATTTTCCAGCTACAAAAAGCTATTTCTGAGCAACAGCGACCTGACCGCCACCTAAACAATACATCAATCAATGCAGAAAAATTTTGCGCATCTTTCTAGCCTAGTTGCAGGTTGCAGCCGACTCGCCGTTAATTTTAAACTCCACAAAAACTATTTTAGGTATGCAATTTAACTAGGTTCTGAGGATTTTCGCAGATAACAATGTATCAGAAAAGTGATCCTCATCTCGAATCACAAATTTTCAGCCAATTCTTTCAAGTTGACGTCGAGATAAATTTTGGACATTGGCCACTTTAATGCCAAGTTTAACCAGAAAAATGCTAACTTAAAAATGCCAAGTTAGTGCAATTCCTCTAATCGCACTAACTACTCGCGGACGGTCTTGTAGAGGGTGTGGTTTTTTCATAGGGACATCCTGTACAAATAGTAGGATCTGTGAGGTTGTGGAGCTCAAGAATGGCTAAAAGATGAAAAAAGCTGCGCCGTCAATCGACGGTTGAAAATTGTAGAAAAACCGGGTGCTCCTAATTATTATGCCCCCACCCCGTATTACATGTGTCCTTACTTGGCGCAAAATGTCGCCAACTTGCCCACGATCAGCCCCGGCTGGTTCCCGCGGCTCGAGATCCTCGTCCTCAATCAGTCGATTCAGAGGCATAAGAAACGCTACGATGGATGACGGTTCAGTCGACGGCTTCACCGCTTCCACCGATACACGGTCTTTGCGCCAGCGACTGAGGAAGAGGCAGGGATGTCGAGCGAGGTGGAGGAGCCCCTTGCCGATGGACTGCAGCTTGGTGAACAGGAATGAAATGAGTCGGCCCGATTTCTTCAAGACGCATCGGAGGAGGTGCACTGAAAAGAACTAATTAATCGGGTAGAGTAGATGCCAGCAATGGCAGTGCAACTACAGTAGCAATCAAAACGATGTCGGGTCAGCAGATCATTTTTATTTGAACGCGGTTGGTAGGGTGTCCCAAAAAGCACCGCCCTCTAGTGGCGCGCATGCATGTCCGATGGTCACGATTTAGTTATCTATCGCAAGCTCTCGATAACACGAGCAAAAAAGGTTGCATTATCTTTTTTATGAATTTTTGGTCGCGAATTTTGCTTCGAAAAAACCATGAAAACTGTCGATTTGCGCAAGATCGGCGTTCTAGTTGCGAAATCCCCTTTGAGCTACCTTTTTTTCGAAAAACGGTCACTATCCATCGGATGTTTTTTTGAATTTTAAGAAATGAAAGCCACTTGTTTTCTCGCCTTTTCGAGAGCTTTCGAACGGTGTAAAAACCACCCGGATACGAACTTTCTCCAAACCGCTAGGGGGCGATACTTTGTTCGACACCCAGTATTTTACTAAAAACGCAATTAAAACATTGTCTATTAACTTGCTAGAAATTTCTACTTACACAAAAAAGTTCGGCTTTCCCTCCCCCCAAGAATCGGAAAGAACCGAAATGTCAAATTTCAAGGCGGTTGGGCTAAAAAATCAAGCGCAAAATGTTGACGAAACCTGCCTAAATATTAAAAACCGACATTAAAAATTTCGACAACAAAATGCCGACACACGAAAATGCGGACATGGCTGGCAGCATTGCATTTCGAAGCAAAACCTCCCGTCGATATTTTCAAGTCGGCAGTCTGGCGTTCGTCATATTAAACATACATATAACGTTTTCGCTGGTTACCCCTAATTCCGATCAACGAAAAACTTGAAATGATAACAATACCGAAGTACCGAAAAATACCGACAATTTTCACAATTCGGCATTTTAGCATCTAGAAAAATGGTCTGCATTGATATTCTGACATCAACAATGGGCACGGTTCTTCAAATTTCGTTAGCCTTGGCCAGCTCGGCTTTGTTTCAATATGTTCAAATATATTTGAATCGGAGCGGCTGTGGCCTGGTGTCCAACCTGCAAAAATCGGCCGACGTTTGCGCCGAATCCGTAGCCTTCCAAGCGGGTACATCTTCGGGTCTAAAAAATGCGGTTACCGAATCGGCGCAGATAACCGAGTATCCGAAAAACGGTTCGGGACTGTTAGCCTGGGGGGTAGCGGGGGCAAACCAAATTTTTCCTTGTGATTCTCTACGGCCCTATAACCAAATATAAAACATTTTTATGGCATTTTATTAAGCTGTACAAAAAGTCTTGTCCGTTTTTTCGTTCGTGCCCTTTTTCAAGAAAAGCGTTGATGTTGGAGCTGAACCTGATAAGTCATTTTGAAGAGCTTTCGATGCTCTACAAGATAGATGTATTGATTTGGTGGTTCTTTAGGATTTCCGGGGGGGGGAACCAAATTTTTTCGGCCCAAGCCTAAATTTTTTTCTAAATAGCGCATGCTTTTCTAAATCGTTTTTAACTAGTCCTGAGCATAAAAACTACCCACATTTTAATTAAAAAATTTAATTTTAGGTCGAAAAATCCTATAGAACCTTTAGGATTAGCGGGGGGAAGACCCAAAATGACTAAATTTTCGACTTTTTCAAACATTTTTCTAACTTTTTCGAAAGGTTTTTCTACATTCAATATAGTTAAAATTTACTAAGAACAATGTGAAAACACTTTATATTTGATTACTAGGTCAACCGGGAAAACCAGGAAAAAATTTGGTCCCCCCCCCCCGGAAATATTCCCCGAAATCCTAAAGAACCGATTTGGTCGATGAAGATTTATATCGATTTTTATAAAGCTTGCAATTGAAAACTAAAAAGTGTTGCTTTTTGTTTAGCTCAAAACTCTGGGGAGGAGCTCCGGATTAGTTTTGTGATATTAGCGATTAATTCAGCTCAACGAGCTCTACAGAACCTGTCGTAAAGGTTACCGTTAAAAAATTACACAACAGGCATGCAACTTGTCAAAATTTGGACCTCTTCTGGAGAATAGGTAATGCTTTATTTTTTAGGTGCTTCCAGGTTATCGGGGGTCGGTTATTTTAGCGGGAGTCGGTCGCGAACTTTTTTTCCATAACATCGTGCGGCTCGGCTAATTAAAAGTTGGCCGTTTTTATAGACTTGTGCGCCGTTTCAACCGGTTCTGGACTGTTAGCGGGGAGGAGACATTAAGAAAAAACGTCATAAAACCTGTAGAAAATTTTTTTTCTTTTTCGGTCTAACGTATATGAATGGCTAAAACCGCGCTATAACCCTAGATTTCGTGACTATAGGCTAAAAATTTTTATAATTTTTGCTTACCGGAAGCTACTAAAAACAGTATTAAAATAAACTACAATTTATCACTAGCCAGGTATAGGCTAAACAAAAGGAAGATGCCAACCGACCCCCGGTAACCTGGAAGCACCACTTTTTAAATTTGATTTAGCTTCCCGACTAATTTCCAACAAATTCATGATCGGTAGGGGCTGAAAACCCCGCCTTTCAATAAATTGGGAAAAGTCCGCATCCTGAAACTGACCAAATTTAGACAATTTACGTATCTGCTTTGTAATTTTTTTTCACGGCAATTTTTACGATACGTTCTGTCGAGATTAACGAGCTGAACAAATCGCAAATATCATAACGCCATTAGGCAGCGTGTCTGCAGTGTTTTGGGCTAAACAAAAAAAGCAACACTCCTTGGTTTTCAATTGCATTGCAATATTTCAATTTCAAATAATATATGATCTACGGGTAGTAGGTTCCCCCCTGCTAACACTCTAGAACCCGAAAAACGGGAAAATTTCACTTTACGGTAACTAAATAAAATATCGATTTTTCGATTGGAATCGATAGATCTCGTCGAGTTCTATAATTTCCAGTTGAAAAAACTATTGGGACTCGCTTCTAAAAAAAAGTTATAAACATTTTAAATTGGCTAGTTCACTTTACGGTAACTAAATAAAATCTCGATTTTTCGACTGGAACCGATAGATCTCATCGAGTTCTTGCGTTTCCCGTTGAAAAAATGATTGGGACTCGCTTTTGACGAAAGTTATAAACGTTTTAAAGTGGTTGGTTCATTTTACGGTAACCTCGTAAAATGCGATTTTTCGCCTGTGATAAATAGATCTCATCAAGTTCTTGCATTTACAATTGAAAAAAACCTTTGGGAAAGTTTTTTGGAGGAGGCTACACCATATTTTTGACATTTGACTGTGACATGGTCAGGCAAGGCGGGCCGTCGCTTCGGATGGGCTGCCGCTCCACTCTTTCGAAATGGGGGCGCCCCCGGCCGCTTCGCCGGCCTTGGCGCCCCCATTTCGAAACCCTGTACGAGCTCGCACCCATCCGAAGCGACTAGGCCCCCGGTGGCACGAAGCCTTTTTCTAGTCGCAGAGCGGAGGAAGTGGCGGTCACTTCCCTTCAAATTGCGTGACTCCTGTTGCAAAACCGTCTTTTTGATGTTTCAGAAATTCAGAAATTCGGAGGAAGTGCAAAATGTGTGCTAATAAAGTTTTTCCTGCGCCTTTTGCAGCAGCCCCGTATTTGGTACCCCAGTACGTTCACAACTATTACGTTTTTCTGTACAAAGGAGTCCCTCGTAGCCGAAACCGACTTTTTCGATGCGGGGTGAATTGGTTTAAAACAGCTATAACTTTTGTTAAAAGCGAGTCCCAATCGTTTTTTCAACGCGAAACGCGAGAACTCGATGAGATCTATCGATTTCAGTAAAAAAAATCGACATTTTATTTAGTTACCGTAAAGTGAACTAGCCAATTTAAAATGTTTATAACTTTTTTTAGAAGCGAGTCCCAATAGTTTTTTCAACTGGAAATGGTAGAACTCGACGAGATCTATCGATTCCAATCGAAAAATCGACATTTTATTTAGTTACCGTAAAGTGAAATTTAGCCCGAAAAACTATCTCGGGGCAAGTTTAGAGAGGCGGCACGGGGTTCAGCTTCGTTTGCAACCGACCTTTTCCCCCTGCGCGTCGCAGCGCCTCCGCCCGCACGAGTTGCCCCTGACGTTTCGCCAGCACGCGACGAACCTATAAAAAGATTTCCTTCAAAATTTAATGTGGTACCGTATCCTCTTCTTGCGCATCCGCCTGGCTGAGTGGCGTGAGAAGATCGAACGCAAGCCAAATCTAAACAATGGCTACTCTTCAGTCGGTTCTTGTGTACTCCCGGTGGGGGGGGGGGAGAATTCGCGGGGGGAAACCATCTTTTTTTTGTCGGGCCTGGTGGGGATATTAATCAAATATAAAGTGTTTTCACACTGTTTTTAGCAAAATATAAGCCTATTTGAATCGGAAGAACTTTTTTAAAAGTTTGAAAAACGCTTGAAAAAGTCGAAAATTTGGTCATTTTTGGGCAGAAAAAATTGATTTTTCGGCCTAAAATTAAATTTTTAATTAGATTTTGTAAAGTTTTTATGTTTAGGAATAGCTATAGACTATTTAGAAACACTTCCACTATTTATATAAAAAATCTAGGCTTGGGCGAAAAAAGTTCGCGGCTCCCCCCCCCGCGAATAAATTTTAGCCATTTTAGACTTTATTGTTATTATTTAATACGTTAGAGCGAAAAAGAAAAAATTTTTCTACAGGTTTTATGACGTTTTTCTTAATGTCTCCTTCCCCGCTAACAGTCCAGAACCATTTCAAACAGCGCACAAGTCTATAAAAACGGCCAGCTTTTATTTTGCCGAGCCGCACGATATTATGGAAAACAAGTTCCCGAACGACCCCAAAATATAAATTGCCTACTCCTTGCATGAAAGTGGCCAGCGACACGAAGACATTGAGGGGTGCATCGGGGAAGGCGTCGAGCGCGTCTTTAGTATCCGAGACGGCTGCACGAGTCTCAGACGGGGGGCCCTAAGATAGAGAGAAGTGTGATTTACATTTGAGAATTAGAATACGGTGAATGAAAAGTTTGCTTACGTCTATGAGACGAACCATCTGGACGTGTTAGTAGGGAAGATATGGCAGATAGAAAGCGCAAACTTTCCCGTTTTCACGGGGGGATGTCGATTCGAAATAAAAATGCATATTACAAGCTCAAATTTTCGGAGACAAGGGCGGTGATCAGGCCCGTAGGAGGGAGGAGGGGGGGATCGGTGACCTCCCCCCACCCGTCGCCACTTTTAAAACACTCCAAAAGCGCAGCCATCAAAGCGCCACAGGCAAAAAATGTAGTCGAAATGCCCCAATTCCTGTGAAAATAGCACAGAAAAAACGCTGCAAGCGAAAAATCGATGCACTAATAAAAAAATAGCCACTAAAAACTAATTTCGGAAAAAGGTGCTTCACAGAAGTAAAGACTGTCTTAAAAACAGTAATAAACGGGGCGGCAGACACAAAATTTTTCATAAAAACATCATAAGGGATAAGGCGCAGGGGCGTACGAGGGGCAAGGGGGCAGCTGCCCCCCGCCCAAAAATCGGCTGAAGTTCATAAGGGGTGACCCTTACGATTTTTTTTATCAAAATTTTTCTGGCTGCGGCGTCGTTTATTGCTGTTTTTAAAACGGTTTTACTGCCATGAAGCCTATTTTGGGTCGGCGCTGGTTTTTTCATTAATGCGTCAATTGTCGACAAAATTTTTTCGAGTCCCACCGCATCGGGGTCGTGTGCGCCCCTGGATAAGGGTCCCCCTTAAAAACTTTTCAGACCTCTACCGATTTCGGGTGGGGGTGGGGCCAGGGCCCCCTAGGGCCCCCGGTGATAGATAAATGTCAGGACATCAGTAGCGTGGAAAAGAGCAAACTACCCGGGGGCAATTGGGGTAACACGGCGGATCGTTTTATTTTTGATCGTACGTAATCTCATATACATGAGATTACGTACGATCAAAATGCCGCGGCCGCAGGATCCGATCAGCAGAGACTGGAACCGGAAATTGACGTTTCGTAGCTTAAGTTTAGATTCTTAGTGATTTCAAAATTTTCGAAATCACTGCAAAGATCGACACATTTCGCAGACACTTTTGCGAGTCTAAGCGAGCCTGAGGTAAAATCAAGCAATCCAAGAAAGTCCGGATTGCATCGGTCATTTCTCAGACCGGAAACTTTTAGGTTAGCGCGTATCTATCTCCCACTCACTCACTCGCACTCCTTCACGCTTCCTCTCTCACTCTCTCTCTCTCTCTCTCTCTCTCTCTCTCTCTCTCTCTCTCTCTGGCCCTCTCTCTATCTCTATGGTCCTCTCTCGCTCTCTCTTTTGTTCTTGCCTCTACCTTTCAGATGGAAAAAATATTTATTTCACGCAAGAACATACAAAATATGGCAGAACTGGTGGTCAGCTGTATCTTTCAATCAGATGCTCGTCTCGAGGTAGAATTTTTTGGCGGATATACGTATTTTTCTAACGGCAGCATATGGATGGGGTGAGGGCGGAAAATAGTTGGCGAGATTTGGGAGGTTTTGAGAATTTGATGAGGGGCTGCAGGAGAGGATTGGCGTGGATGTGAGAGGTGTTTTCGGGTGTATGGGATCGGATGGGATCGTAATCGCCGGATTATTGGTATGAAATTGGGTACGGTAAGTGGGCTCTCGGTTTCTGTAGCTTGGCGTTGGGTTACGGTAACACGGCTCAGAATTACAGTCACTTAACATTGAGTTACGGTCGGGTTGATCAGAGATAAAATAGCCTGGCTCAGCGTTACGGTAGCCTAGAGCTGGGTTACGGTAGTTAGACGCGAAATAGGAAAGATCACACGGTGGCTCGTGGGTTGAGTAGTAGGAAGAAGCGATCCCTAAACAAAGAAGTATCATTAAAGACCGTAGAATACGTGAGAGCTGTTTGGAACTATGGATGTTGCCGCGCGTTTGGAATTACACCGCGTCACGGGTTGTGACGTGTTGCGAACACGCCCACGTCCATAGCCAAGCTTCCTTGGGTCCTTTAACGGGAATTTATGGGCTATTTCTGCCTTCAAAATACCTTGAAGAGAGCGGAGATAACCTTCTTTGAATTTTGGAGGCTATCGATTTGGATGGATTTACTGCGCTGTCGCGAATCGCAACGCATACGCCTCGAATTCCATTGCGTAATGGATTAACACGCTTGCAAAAGCATAAATTATACGCGCTTTGCGGGTCGCGGCACGGCAAGGCATCGGCTGGGTGCAACTTAGGGTACTGGACTGTTAGCGGGGGGAGGGCAAGGTTTTTGCAGATGCAAACTAATTTTCGCCTGAAATTCTATACGGTCCTATAACAAAACATAGCAGTTTTTTATAGCATTTTACACAATTTCCTACCTTATATAATTTTGGCGTGTAACTGTGTGTGTGTGGATGTCGCTTTCGAGGCCCGATTTGAGGGCCTTCCCGTGTACAAAATGCCCTAATTCTCCGTCATCCGGGGGAATCGACCCTCCTCTTTCCGATGGCGCTTTCAGAATCCCGATAAAATACAAGTTTACAAAGTCAAAAGCCGGTTTTATTGATTTTGGGGGTCTGGGAGGGCTAATTTGCATAATGTGAAAAAATACAAATTTCCTCATTCTTGCCAGTTGCACTCGCGAGTTTGGTCGTCTCTTTGGATTTGACTCTCGATGCCTTTCCTTCCCCTGCCCCGGCCAGCCCCCTTGAGGCATAAAAGGGGTGTTTGGCGCTTGCTGCCAAGTATTGCATGGTGTAGTGGTTAGCGCTTCGCGTGCTAATCTAACCATCGATGGTTCTTTTTGCTCGGAAAGTGCGTTTCGGAGTGGGTTTCCGTGTAGGAACGTTATTAAGAAGTTAGTCACTCAAACCTGCGCCGCAGCCCATAGAACGAAGCTACCCTCTCAAGCTTGCGCCGCAGGCCAAGGAATCAAGCTAACTACTCAAGCTAGCGCCGCGGACTTTGGAACGACGCTAGCCGCTGAAACTAGCGCCGCAGGCTAAAGGTTCAGGCCGGACCCCGAAACTAGCGCGGTAGGCTTCGGAAGGAAGTTAGCCGGGTGTTGGGAACCCGAAGTTCCTCCGTTTCCTTTCCTTTCCTTATAACACCTTTATTCCACGGTTATTATGGTACAGGCAACAGATCGGTAATACTGGCGGTTGGCAAGACTGTCGTACAGATGTGTGCGGCCCTTTTATAGCCGGGTGCCGTTGACGTCCTGACGAGGGTTGAATGGAGCGGCAGGAGAACGGGACAGTTTACACACACTTATGAGGAACGTGGCCAGTTTGGGCACGGCGAAGTTGGTGACTGCACATGGGGCCAGTTATCGGTTATAGGAAGGGAACGAGGAACTCGGGATACCAACACCGGGCAAGCTTGCGCCGCAGGCTTAAGTATGAAGCTAATCTCACAAGCTAGCGCCGCAGGCTTTATAACGAAGCTAGCCGCACAAGCTAGCGCCGCAGGCTTTATAACGAAGCTAGCCGCACAGCTTAGCGCCGCAGGCTTTAGAACGAAGCTAGCCGCACTAGCTTGCGCCGCAGGCTTTAGAACGAAGCTAGCCGCACAAGCTAGCGCCGCAGGCTTTAGAACTAAGCTAGCCGCGTAAGCTAGCGCCGCAGGCTAGGAGGAAAGCCAACCACCATTGAAGCTAGAGCCGCAGGCTTAAGGAAAGAAGTAACCGCTCAAACTTGCGCCGCAGACTTTATCTTGAAGCAAACCGCTCAAGCTGGCGCCACAGGCCGAAAAAAGGGAAGCTAATCCCTAAAGCTTGGGCCGCAGGACGAGGTAGCGACCTAGCCGATCAAACATGCGCCGCAGCCCTAATAACGACACTAGCGATTTAAGCTTGCGCCGCATGTCAATACAAAGAGGTTTGCATGGGAGATGCGTTTCTTCAGGGTAACTTTATATGGAAGGGCGCTCGATTCATAGGGCCTGGACGGGGTCCAGCGGGGGAGAGTCGCGAAGCGGCTCCTCCTCTACCGCTGGTTTAGATATAAAAAGCTCATAAAAACTTATCAAATTTTTCGAACTTTCTGACTTTTTTTCAGAAATTCAAGAAAAAGGGCCTACGGTCAGAATTTGCGAATTTTCATGTATGTATAAGCAGCTTTTTTTGTAATTTTCTAGCAGTCAAAAACTATGAAACCGATTTTAAAATACAGCTGTTGCGGAAGCAAGAAAAGAAAGTCTTTGATTGA